AATATCTTTTATTTTAAGATCGCCGCCAAAATATTTTGGGTAAATATCAAGATTAACGTTGGCTGCACTCATTTGATTATACATACCTCTAAAAGTCTATTTTTCTATTCCGTTGATGAAATTAAAAAAAAAATAAAAAAAAAATCTGTTGAAGGTGATTTTTATTTATTTTTAAAAACTAATTTTGTTTCTGAAAAAATTAGATTTTTTGTGACATTTTCAAATCAGTCCAGCTCTAAAAGTCAATTATTTATTCCATTGATAAAGTTTTTCAACATCCTTGAAAAATATTTTTAAAAACTAATTTTATTCATAAATACTCAATATTCTGGCGGAAGTCTTCAAATTTATAAAATTTTATAATTACGAAGGAGAACCGGTACCGATTTTTCTTTGTATGAAGAGTGACGCACCCTAATGTTTATATGCAGTGAGAAAAAGAGGGTATTAATAAAAAAATGCGGCCTCCTAAATTTTTAAATAAAATAATTGAATTTTTCAAAATGTATGTATGTATATAAAAAATGGCTATGAACTCGAAAATATACATCTCTTGCTTTTCCATGCCACACGTTTAATTCTTTATTGAATTCAGTTAGCTAGCATTAGTTTTAAATAAAAATTAAAATTCGTTCAAATATTTGATCAACGAATTTTTAGGTGGCTTCCCCTACACTTGAACCTTTTTTACAATGGCAGACGTAACCACAAAAAAAAACAATAAAAAAGACGACCACAGATTTATTATGGTAATTATAGCCAGTGTTGCCAGGTCTTCAGCAAGAGAAAACCTCCCTCTTGGTCTAAAAAAACGTCATTTTCTACCCAAAAACGTATTTTTCGAAATTACTAAATAACGTTCTGCTAAGAAGGAACATAGCAATATTTCAGAATTTTTTTGGGTTAATACAATTTTTAATGAAGCCTTAAAAAAGTTGCCTATTTTTTTCTGACTTTTTATGCTGCTACAGTTTTTTTTGTGCTTTTGCGAACGTGCGTGTTGCAATAGATCAGCTCTTCCTGATTTGGCTTTTAATGTGCAATTGCAAACATTTAAGCCTTTTAACCTCAAGTGTTCACAAAACCAGCCAAGAGTCCAAAAAAATGCGCGTGCGCTTGCTTTGCATCATATTTAAGTCATCTGTGCCCAAAGAATAAATATATTTTAAAGAAGCTGCTGCAAAAAACAAAGCTTATAAAGCTTTATTAAGAAAATAGTTCCAGATCAGTTCTACTTACAAGATTTAGTAACAGAGAAAAATTACTGAGAAGTTAAAAAACGTAATTTTTTACACAAAAAACATCCGAACATCAACAGAATACAAAAACGTCAACCTGGCAACGCTGATTATAGCGGTTGTTGAGTTAAAAAAAACACTAGAAGTATGTATTCGAGCAATCAATGCAACTTATTTACCGAAGTCGAGTAGTCAATGAAAGGTATTGAACTTGAAATGCTCAAAATAAGCTGAAAAGCCGTAAATAGACATTCAAGTATATGTACATATGTAAAAATGTAGATTAGGGTGATCCAAAAACAGTAAAGTCGGTAATGCTCTCACCACCTAGGATTGTTCCATATCGAAAAAAGTGTACCCCTATTTTTTTTATTTTGAAATCAAAAAATATTTAGAGGTCTCTCAAAGCGCTCAAAGTTTTCCATGTATTTTTATAAAGGAAAAATAAATTTTTTCGTAGAAATGGTTTAGAATTCTTGAAAGTCAATACTTTTCGATCGGAAAACTCTGGTTCTCTTCAGGAGACTTTCAATAATAATACCCAATTATCTATTTAACCATTTTTTAATACTAACGTTTTTTTAGGCGGACCAATAAATTATATTTGCAATGAAAAAAATGGTTAAATAAACAATTGGGTATTATTATTGGGAATTTCCTGCAGATAAACAGAGTTTTCTGGTAGAAAAATACTGATTTTTAACTATTCTATACCATTTCCACGAAAAGTTTTTCCCCCATATAAAATACATGGAAAACTTTGGGCGCTTTGAGCAACTTCCAAATATTTTTTGATTTCGAAATCAAAAAATAAGGGTATATTTTTTCGGTATAGAACAACCCTAGGGAGTGATAGCATAAAAATTCCGACTTTACTTTTTCACATGCATTTTTGGACGACCCTAATGTGCATACATACATACATAAAAAACAATGCGCTCAGTTGAAATCTGTAGATGAAATTAGAGGCCAAGAAAAAAGCTCAGCGCAAGATAATGAACTTTTTGCCTACATTTCATTACTTTCGCTTTTCTACGCGCAGCATCCTATGTATGATCCACGGTGTTATCACCTACATAGCTACATACTATGTACTTTTGAAAAAATGAGAACGGTAAAAAATAAGCATACATGTGTATGTATGTATGTAAATATGTCTGTGCGAAAGTGTGCAACAACTCAACCTTCTGGTTTAAAACAGTGCGTATAGGTAGGTACGCCTTTTTTTCTTTTCTTTTTGTCCTATTGTGTGTTACTTGTGCGCAATTTTATAGGTATGTAGTATTATGTGTGAATGAAAGATACCTTATGGTATTTTAAGACAGATTCAAAATGCTGAGAACTGACAGATATACCTCTTTTAAAAGAGACTAATTGTCATATCCCAAAGGTTCATAATAGGCTCGACGGAGTGCCTACTACGATGATCAGTGTGTTTTAACAAACTCTCGACGTCAACCGTCTTACTGATGGTCCACATTGTTATATCAACAAAGGGAATGAGGCGTTGGTTGAGTTTTGCGAGCATGTGAAGAGAGGTTTGTTACGTTAGAATTTATTCTGCTTCAGTAGGGTGATAGTTGTCCTAAACCGGCAATCACAGGTCGGGGGTTGGTGTAGTTTGAGACATACTCCCTATGCATATTATGCTCCCTTACAGGGGCAATTGGGCCTCGTCATGGAGGTGGGCCTCTGCCGACACCAGAAGACATCTAGTCGGGGTCCTGCTAGTCCCCAGCGACTACACGGGTGTTGCATACATTGTTTAGAACCGACCGGCAAATTGCCTTTTATGTTGCCAACAACGTTTCTTTGTCTCAATAGTCTTTTTGAGCTTTGCACCACGATTTGTTTGTTAGGAAAAATGGAAAATAACAACAAAGCTTAAGGGGTAGAAGTTATAGCCGCTATAACGGAGATCACCACATGGAATTGATGACCTCTGCTCAAAAGTAAACGACTATCTCTCCAGCCTTTCTCGCTTCTTCACTGCAAGGAGCCTAACACTCTCCCCAACGAAATCAACGGCGACCCTCTTCACCACCTGGACGAAGGGGGTCAGGCTAGAATTAGGTATACATGTCGATGGCACACCAATACCGACTTTAAACAACCCGCACATTTTAGGGGTCACCTTCGATAGCCTGCTCTCCTACTCCACGCACACAAGAAGCGTTGCTGGCAACATACAAGGCAATTGGGCGGCCGGTTCTAAACTATGCTGCGCCAGTTTGGACGACGGGGACTAGTTGGACACAGTGGACGAAGCTACAGACTTGTCAGAACGCCGCACTCCGGACAGCGAGGCCCAAGTGCTCCCCGTAAGGGAACACAACAAATTGCTCTGTAAGCAATTTCTGGTGGGGTGTCACAGAAGCGAACACCCAAACAGACATCTGCTTCAGGAGGAGCCTCCGCCCAGGCACGTCAGGGGGCACCTATTCGTATACAAGGACGCAGTCCAGCAATACGTAGACCAACCACTGGACCCGCCGACATACAGACGAGCCATCAACGACATCCATAGAGTCAGTCACCACCTACCTCGACTCTCGACCCATCAATGCCGTAATAGGAGCTCAATCACCAAATGTTGAAGAGATGGAGCTTCAATTGCCAAGAGAGACCCGCGTTACTCTGGCTCAATTACGGTCTGGATACTGTAGCCGCCTCAACAGCTACCTGCCCAGACTCGACCCCAATATCCCCAATGGGTGCCAGCCATGTGGAGAATCGACAGACTTCAATGCCAAAGATCGTAATGCGCGTTGAATCCACCAACTACCACTCGGTTTTCACCTCTGAGGGGCGTACCTATTTCAGGGTGATATCCTGTCGGGCAGCTGGTAACGGGGGGACAGCCTGGAATGGTATCCCCGTGATCGATAGTTGCTACATATCGTTATCTTAATTTACAAAGGCCCTAACCAATAAATACGAGTATTTCTGCTATCATACCCGGGAGTCCGATGCAGGTAAACTGTAAGAGTTTTGACTTGGGATGTTCATATAGTGTGTTAAAAGAGCTTTAAGAACACTTATTAAAAAATACCAGTAATTATACGAGTATGTATGATTTTTAAAAATGGTTTACATTTGTAAGTCTTTTATTATTAAAACTGTATACGACGATGAGCAAATCGATTGTTCATCAATTTAAAAGAAATGCATAGCAGAAAATTAAATACATTTTCTTTTTACAAATCCATTTAAATAGAGATAAGATATTTATAATTATAAGAATGTATTTTATAAAATTTTTTTAATTTGCAATGTGCAAAAGCACTTCAGTACTGTAAACTACGTTTCGTTCCTATATCGTCTAGTATTTGCCGCAATTCTTCATCCTCGAAGCGTCCTTCTAGCGATGGTATCAACGCCTTTGCTTCCTCAGGCGCTTCGGGGCAGAGGTTACCCAGTGCAGCTAATTCGAATTTGTGCAATTTTTTCTGCATTAAAAGACTGGGGAAAACAATATTTTAAGCACATAATTTCAGACATTTGTTTGAGTGGGGATTTTATTTAAAAAATTATTTATTATTATTTTTTATTAAAAAAATAAATAAAACTTTGATTATGTTATGGGAGGATGGGTTTTGAAGGCTCTAATTGTGGATTTAGATAAAGATGTAAATGAATGTAAATTATAATGAATAGCGTTTTTTCTTACTCACCTGCGCACCGCTGCGATTGTTTCCTTATTTTTGAATTTACGAAAACTATCCGTGTATGCATATGTTTTCATAAACACTTCAGAGAATTCCTGCTCCTCGTCTGCCGATTCGTTTTGACGTTTGCGATGGTCAAGCAACATGTGTACTTCAGAAATTAGTAAAGTTTCGGCGTTTTCAAATTCTGTGAAAGAAAAAGGATATGTAAATAAATTTCTTAATTAACGGTGAAGCAGCTTATGGCAATAACACGCATTTGCATATACGTAATACAAGTGAAACGACAACTCAAACTAACATCATCTATAAATGGTTTTCAATTGTTATCGATTTTTTAGATTCGATTTACAAAAATTTATACACGTCACGTGGGTCTATTTATATGGCCATTTTCTATCAGAAAATCATATATTTGCCGAGTTTTGTTGACATCAATCTTTATCAAACGCCTGGCATCGGCCAAACGCAAATGACCAATTTTCATATTTTCCGCTATTAAGATGTTTTTGTAATCTATATATGATTGTGGTGCTATACGCTCGACGCTGCACAATTTTCGTTCATCGTCGGTGAGACGGGTATACCCAGGCATGCCTGTAAAGAGGAGGAATATTGTTTAAAAGTTCATTTAAACTCGACCAAGTTACTAAGACAAACCCATAATGTCCATTGGGCCAGGCTTCTTTCTGGGGTTTGAACCTGCATGCGGCGTTGCGAACGGATTGGGTACGAGCATTTGAGGGCTTGGCATTAGCTTACGCCAATCGTGCAGTTGTCGGGATGTATCATCTTTTAGGCGATCGCGTTGTTGCTGAGCGCGCCGTTTCTTCATTTTGAAGTACAATGCACCGCCTTCAAGTGTGCGAACGCCATTCTGACGTAGCTCATACAAGCTATAAGGAAATTTGGAAAAGTTTTTATTAAAGGAGTAAAAATAATTTAAATTATATTTACTGTTACCGATAAATCTTCTTTTGCACATCCGAAAAATATTTCAGGGACTCTACCAGCATGTCGTATTTAATCGGCTTGCTGATCTGCATAAAAGACAAGAAACGATGGCAATTCGATTCCGAGCCCAACGCCTCTGCATACTTCGAGATCCAACCCAACGTGCGATTGGGCATGATGAGCCCGTGGTCACGCATTATTCGATATCTGCGTTTACGTTCTCTAGAAGTTTAATGGTAAATCTTAGCTTTGTGGTAAATACAATATTTAATATGCAGCACATTTTTAAACAAAAATTACCTCAATCGATTATTATAAGCACGGACTACTCCTAATTGCAGTTCCTCATACGCAGCACTGCTTATTTCGTCAATTGGCTCATCGTCGTCACTCGCAGAAATGGCAGCAAAGCTATTTTGCATGATTGTCGTTAGCAAATCTTCAGCTGAGTTATCGTATGGAGTATCGAAGTCCCCACGCGCACAGCGATATCCCGCCATCATTTTAAATTGCATTGAGCCCGGCTCATCACTGCGTGGCGGATCAACTGAACGCATCTTTACAACATACGGCATGCGTTCGGGGAAGTACGCATT